AAACACTTCACATCATTAAGGGGACGGAGATATCACAGAAGTGATTAATATGTAATAGACGAGAGCGCAGCCGGGGCACCAGCTGACATGATGGGACGCGGACCACAGCTGCATGAGGCTCGTAGAGCGGCAACAACAGAGGGGTTTGTAGAGCAGCAACAACAGAGGGGTTTGTAGAGCGGCAACAACAGAGGGACTCGTAGAGCGGCCACAACAGAGGGACTCGTAGAGCGGCCACAACAGAGGGACTCGTAGAGCGGCCACAACAGAGGGACTCGTAGAGCGACCACAACAGAGGGACTCGTAGAGCGGCCACAACAGAGGGACTCGTAGAGCGGCCACAACAGAGGGACTCGTAGAGCGGCAACAACAGAGGGACTCGTAGAGCGGCCACAACAGAGGAGTTTGTAGAGCGGCAACAACAGAGGAGTTTGTAGAGCGGCAACAACAGAGGAGTTTGTAGAGCGGCAACAACAGAGGAGTTTGTAGAGCGGCAACAACAGAGGGGTTTGTAGAGCAGCAACAACAGAGGAGTTTGTAGAGCGGCAACAACAGAGGGGTTTGTAGAGCAGCAACAACAGAGGAGTTTGTAGAGCAGCAACAACAGAGGAGTTTGTAGAGCGGCAACAACAGAGGAGTTTGTAGAGCGGCAACAACAGAGGGGTTTGTAGAGCAGCAACAACAGAGGAGTTTGTAGAGCGGCAACAACAGAGGGGTTTGTAGAGCAGCAACAACAGAGGAGTTTGTAGAGCGGCAACAACAGAGGGGTTTGTAGAGCGGCAACAACAGAGGGACTCGTAGAGTAGTAACAACAGAGGGACTCATAGAGTAACAACAACAGAGGGACTCATAGAGTAACAACAACAGAGGGACTCGTAGAGCAGCAACAACAGAGGGACTCGTAGAGTAACAACAACAGAGGGACTCGTAGAGTAACAACAACAGAGGGACTCGTAGAGTAACAACAACAGAGGGCCTCATAGAGTAACAACAACAGAGGGACTCGTAGAGCAGCAACAACAGAGGGACTCGTAGAGCAGCAACAACAGAGGGACTCGTAGAGTAACAACAACAGAGGGACTCGTAGAGTAACAACAACAGAGGGCCTCATAGAGTAACAACAACAGAGGGACTCGTAGAGCAGCAACAACAGAGGGACTCGTAGAGCAGCAACAACAGAGGGACTCGTAGAGTAACAACAACAGAGGGACTCGTAGAGTAACAACAACAGAGGGACTCGTAGAGCAGCAACAACAGAGGGACTCGTAGAGCAGCAACAACAGAGGGACTCGTAGAGTAACAACAACAGAGGGACTCGTAGAGTAACAACAACAGAGGGCCTCATAGAGTAACAACAACAGAGGGACTCGTAGAGCAGCAACAACAGAGGGACTCGTAGAGCAGCAACAACAGAGGGGTTCGTAGAGCAGCAACAACAGAAGGGTTCGTAGAGCAGCAACAACAGAGGGACTCGTAGAGCAGCAACAACAGAGGGTCTCGTAGAGCAGCAACAACAGAGGGTCTCCTAGAGAACCGCAATAGAGGAACTCGTAAGGCGGCAGCATCAAAGAGACTCGTAGAGCGCATCTACAGAGATATTTGTAGAGCTGCAGCAATAGAGGGACTGGCAGAGCATCAACAATGTAAGCACATCAGAATTATGTTAACTGTAAAAGGCATATTGGACCTTACTTGTCAACTCCTATTTATATCTTCCCAAACTCATAATATATGTAACTAACCTACACTTGAAACCATTTATGAATCCCAAGTATATTATGTCACGTGGTAATTTGTTCCTTAAGTCAACAATCTTGTTTCCAAACCAGTATTTACCCAGGTCTTTCCTAAATTTGAGCTTATCAAATTTAGATTTATTGCTGTGTGCCTTATTTTATGTTTATATATTTAACACTATTTTAATGCCATCTTTGTTATACGCTTTCATTCACTTGCACATTTCAATCGTATCACCCGTAATTTCGACTCTCTAGAGAATGTAAAAAAAGGCTTTTTCAACCTCTCGTCATAGAGAACGTTTCTTATTCCTGGGATTAATTTTGTAATCCATCGCTAAATGCGTTCCAGATAATTTTTGTCCATTCTAGAGTATTGAGTCCAATATGAAACAGCATAATCTGAATAAGGCCAACAGGAGCAGGATGAGGTTAAAGACCAACGTTATTTGCTTTATAGTTATTGCTTCTAAAAGTAGATCCTCAATATATTATGTGACTTATTCTTAACTTTAATACATTTTTCGATTTAAATTCCTACTATTCATAACTCCCAGATCCTTTTCATATTTATTCGTCGCTGTTGAGCACTATCCATGTACTATCTGGTAACTCTGTCATTATTACCTATTCCCAGAACTCTGAATTTTTCAGAATTAAACTGTATCTCTTAATATTTCGTCCATTTAAATTTTTAATCATATTGATGATTTTGAATCATCAGAACTTATTTTCGGCCCAATTCTTGTATTAACATCACATTTAAAAAAAGATCTGTTCAATCCTGTCTGTAAATCATTTATATAATTGGTAAACAGCAGCGGTCCCAGGTCTGGTTCCTTCGGCACTATACTTAAAACAGGTTTCCACTCTGACTTAACTCCAATTAGGTTAATGTTAATCCAATCAATTACATATCAGCCGTTCTAAGAGGGAGAAAATTCGATTTACATTCTGGTGAAAGACATTACAAATGATATGATAGAAGCATGCAAGTGGATGACAGGCAATGACTAAGGATATATTAATCGGGTATTAAATATATTAAAACTATAAGAATTATAGGAAAATGTAGTAGGCTTATTGGTACATACGAGGCAGCTCAAATTTATACCCAACATAGGAACATATTGTCCAGTAGGAATGGGGCGATGTTGCCTTCTGTACATAGATCGTTTTCATACTTTCTAGAACCTATAAAAACACCCAATGGGTGATATCCATGATTATATTTGTATGTAAAACGTTTGTTTTGTGCAACTTTAAGGCTTAGGCACATATAATATTTGCTATACATAAATGTGTATTTTGATATATGGATATATAAATATATAAGCACTAATGAAACTCTAGAAGGCTTGTGGGTGTCGTTGTGGGTGACTGTGACTTGAAGCAGTCACATTAAGTTTAGGTTCTTATCGAATTTATGTGTATAGGTATAAGCCTCCTACTTATCAGTAGAAAGTGCTAAGCCAATATGACTGCAATAGATATAATATTGGATATGAGGACAAGGAGTTGGGATATGTGGACGAAGTAAAGGAACGATGTCTAACTACTTGGACCCCTGGGGATCGAGCGCCGATATACAAGAAACCAGACCCTGACTGTACCGTGGTTGAGGTCCAATTACCTTTTGAGGTCCAAGTGGTTGGACCTCAAAAATGTTAGTAACTGAGGGAGGAGCAAAGTGAAAATGCAAAAATCGTTCTGCAAATAATTTCAAGGAAAAGAAAAGAAAAGAAAAAAAAAAGGGGGGGGGGGGGGGTTAAACTCTGCGGTGTTCACCCGGATACTTTCACCTACTGTCGGAAAATCCGACACCATTTAAATATCATACAGACAGATAAGAGCTGTGTTGTATAAACAAGTTAACCATAGAAAACGTAACTTGTAGTGGAATTACCATCTAAAGAAAACGGGATATCATCACCACATACTATTATATTCTCCACCTATTATGGTGGGAATTATTCTTAAATACATTAGTCTTTGGACTTTACCATCATAAAAACATCTTATATAAATTAACTTAATTATCAATATTAAAGTAGAGTAAATGTGACCCTTCTATCACTTTCTGAAATGTGGACAATGTAGGCCAGGCGTGAGAGTGAGGAAGGAGGGCAGCCATTGTTGTGTCACCTCTGAGACGTGTGGAGCAAATTCGGCTCCTATCATATCTGGACAATGTCGGCCAGTAACGTCAATAGTATGGAGTGTTAAACAACCATTGTTTATACTAGACCAGAGGCTCACAGGAGCAAATACGGCTCCTGTTAATTTTACTTGGACGTAGTGTTATGGAAACCAAAGGTACCATCTCCAACACGATGTCTACAATTCAAGTTAAGTGTTCTTTCCGAAACCCATGTATCTTTCATTTATGGCCATTAATGTCATTATATAGGGTGACCCGCTTAGAGCACGTGGAAGCCTCAAACTAAAGGTAATTAAGCCAGGTCTTTATTGTTCCATGTACTGTATAGTGTTTTCTCTGATATAGCTTGTCATATATAGGATTCTGGCTTCACAGCTAGCGCACTTTTGACAGGTCAAGCACGAGGAAGCAAGATTTGTGCACCAGTTACTGGGTGATGGAAGCTACCTCAAAGAGGATAATTTGGTGTCTACACCCTAGTTATACCTGGTGGACTAACCTGCTGTACTATAAGATAAGGAACCTCTTTAATGTATGTAGTTATTTCTGTAGTTTGATTGGCTGCATATATATATACTAATAAACCCCCCCTAATGTGTAGAGGATCGATTTGTGAGATTGAGATTATTGCAGAAATACAGTCCACTTATCATTATACAAATTGCTATCGAAGTATATAAATTAACGTAAATATAAATTCATATAAATTAAATAAATATAAATCTCACAGGTCGGTTCCCACAAAAATCGTTCTGCAAATAATTTCAAGGAAAAGAAAAGAAAAGAAAAAAAAAGGGGGGGGGGGGGTTAAACTCTGCGGTGTTCACCCGGATACTTTCAACTACCGCCGGGATCATCAGGATTGCCGGGTGAGCAATGATTAATTTTTCTTTACCTTTATCGGAAACAGGATGTGTTTTAAGTTTTTATAAGTCAATTTAGCTAACGACTCTTAGCTGGTGTGGTGGTTTTCTCCTAGGAAGAACCACACCATTTGCTAAGGAACTACCAGATATCCATGTTCTGCTAGGTTAAGAAAGACATTGGTCCTAGGAAACGTACCAAAATAACTAGTCCCAGCACAGAACAGATCCCAGGAGGAATTAATTTTGAGGGTTGGGGTTGTGAGCCTTGGGGTAGTTGTGAGCCTTGGTGTGGTTGTGAGCCTTGGGGTAGTTGTGAGCCTTGGTGTGGTTGTGAGCCTTGGGGTAGTTGTGAGCCTTGGTGTGGTTGTGAGCCTTGGGGTAGTTGTGAGCCTTGGTGTGGTTATGAGCCTTGGGGTAGTTGTGAGCCTTGGTGTGGTTATGAGCCTTGGGGTTGTGAGTGTTGGGGTTGCGAGCCTTGGGGTTGTGAGTGTTGGGGTTGTGAGCCTTGGGGTTGTGAGTGTTGGGGTTGTGAGCCTTGGGGTTGTGTGTGTTGGGGTTGTGTGCCTTGGGGTTGTGAGTGTTGGGGTTGTGAGCCTTGGGGTTGTGAGTGTTGGGGTTGTGAGCCTTGGGGTTGTGAGTGTTGGGGTTGTGAGCCTTGGTGTGGTTGTGAGCCTTGGGGTTGTGAGCCTTGGTGTGGTTATGAGCCTTGGGGTTGTGAGCCTTCGTGTGGTTATGAGCCTTGGGGTTGTGAGCCTTCGTGTGGTTATGAGCCTTGGGGTTGTGAGCCTTGGTGTGGTTATGAGCCTTGGGGTTGTGAGTGTTGGGGTTGTGAGCCTTGGGGTTGTGAGCCTTGGGGTTGTGAGCCTTGGTGTGGTTGTGAGCCTTGGGGTTGTGAGCCTTGGTGTGGTTATGAGCCTTGGGGTTGTGAGTGTTGGGGTTGTGAGCCTTGGGGTTATGAGCCTTGGTGTGGTTGTGAGCCTTGGGGTTGTGAGCCTTGGTGTGGTTATGAGCCTTGGGGTTGTGAGTGTTGGGGTTGTGAGCCTTGGGGTTGTGAGCCTTGGGGTTGTGAGCCTTGGTGTGGTTGTGAGCCTTGGGGTTGTGAGTGTTGGGGTTGTGAGCCTTGGGGTTGTGAGCCTTGGGGTTGTGAGCCTTGGTGTGGTTGTGAGCCTTGGGGTTGTGAGCCTTGGGGTTGTGAGCCTTGGGGTTGTGAGCCTTGGTGTGGTTGTGAGCCTTGGGGTTGTGAGTGTTGGGGTTGTGAGCCTTGGAGTTGTGAGTGTTGGGGTTGTGAGCCTTGGGGTTGTGAGTGTTGGGGTTGTGAGCCTTGGGGTTGTGAGTGTTGGGGTTGTGAGCCTTGGGGTTGTGAGTGTTTTGGTTGTGAGCCTTGGGGTTGTGAGTGTTGGGGTTGTGAGCCTTGGGGTTGTGAGTGTTGGGGTTGTGAGCCTTGGGGTTGTGAGTGTTGGGGTTGTGAGCCTTGGGGTTGTGAGCCTTGGGGTTGTGAGCCTTGGTGTGGTTGTGAGCCTTGGGGTTGTGAGCCTTGGGGTTGTGAGTGTTGGGGTTGTGAGCCTTGGGGTTGTGAGTGTTGGGGTTGTGAGCCTTGGGGTTGTGAGTGTTGGGGTTGTGAGCCTTGGTGTGGTTGTGAGCCTTGGGGTAGTTGTGAGCCTTGGTGTGGTTGTGAGCCATGGGGTTGTGAGTGTTAGCTATACATACCCATTTCGAATTTATTTAGTTTGGGGTTATTTTGAAATTAAATCTGGGTGAGACATAAAATAAAAATATGCTGCACAAATGATGTTAGGTAAGGAGAAGGGTAAAAATGTCAAAATCTTTATTCATTGAATACTTAAAGCTATAATTATGACTATATAGATTATTAAAAAAGAGAGAGGGAAGTAGGGGTCCAAGACCTCTTCCTGTTATACAATTTGGGTGTGGAACAAGTAATTATCAAAAGAAGGCACCATGCCGGGAAGGTTATGTAGCAGTAAGGCAGTGAGGTGAGGCAGCTACTTATTTGAGAAATGCTTATTTTATTTACCTTATAAGCTGAGGCAACTTATTTTATTTGAGGAATACTCAGCTGATTCCTCTACATTTAGCATGGAACAAATTTGTGTCCTAGACCTCTTCCTGTTACTCAATTTGGCTGTGTAACCAAACTAGAAGTGCTCTACAAATCAAGGAACCCAGAATGTGGAATGACCTCCCGAATCATGTCAAAGGCTGTACCTCTCTCAACCAGTTTAAGAGTTAAACCAAGTACTGCCTAATTAACTCCATGTAACCTAACTTACCTCCTAAATGTCAACCCATGTCTTGCTATTTTTTAAACAACGCTGTTCACCAACATGTGCAATTGCTGATTTATGCTATATTAACCCCCCTTTTTGTATTTTTATTCCTTCTTTCAACACAATTTATACCTAATCCCGATTACTATTAAGTTTTAGTCTGTGTTTTTTCCCCCCACACCTTGCCCGAAATGCTATGAGTATTAGTGGCTTTAGGTATTGTATGTACTAGCTCTGTCTATAAATCCAACATTATGTTTGTAAATCAACTGTATGTACTTTTCCTGAATAAAATGTATTTATTATTTATTTTTTAATCAGTAAGTATTAAAAGAAGGCACCAAGCTGGGAAGGCTATGTAGCACCATTGTGTGTAACAATAAACCAAATCTTTTTTTAACAAATAATGCACCTGTATGGTAAAACAAATCCTGTCAGCTGTAAAAATATTGATGCAGTTATTTAAATGAAAAATGTAATGAAAGAAATATTACTGGTTTATTTTTATCCTATCTTTTTGTACTGTACAGTATATCCAAGGAAGTGAAAAATTGAGACATAATGCACAATTTAATGAATGATTAGCATGGATTAGCAGTTCAAAAGAAATATGACTATTACATATCAACATGAGATCTTAATGATCCATGGTCAACATGATTTAATAAGGATAATACAGTACTGAATTTGTAATAATACAAACTATAATTTAAAATCTTTATTACTGATTTTTTTTATTAAGAAGATTAGGTATACACAGCAATGTGCTGCTACCCTATTCTATATGGAATATTACACAGTGTAGATAAAAAACTAGCTATAAGTTTATCTAATACTCCCATCTCACAGGATGGTTAGACATACTGTACATGGAATCAATTTAGAAAATACCAGCCTCAATACAAAAAACAAATCAACTCTGACTAAACAACTCTAAGCAATTTTCACAAGAGGTAAGCACTGAATCATGGAAACATTATATTATAATTACTCTTACCAGTTTCTACCAGACTCCTCTCAAATAATGTATTTTTAAACATGTTTAGGTATACACAGCAATGTGCTGCTTCCCTATTCTGTATAAAGGACCACACAGTGTAGATCAAAAACCAGCTACAAGCTCATCCAACATCCTCACCTCACAGGATGGCCAGTCATACATGGAATTAGGAGAGAACAAAATACTTAATGCTGATCTATTAGCCTCCACTGGCAAAATCTGGGTGCAGCACAAGAATATCTTCCAATATTCCTGAGTGTATGAAGTAATTACAGAGCTCAAAATACCTCATACCATTTGGTATGAAGTCACTGATAACAGGACAATCACATATATAGTGTTGGAGAGTATGTTCTCTCAAGTAGGACTGAAAACAGATGTTTTTTTCCACCAAGAGGGCTATAAACCCATGGAACTGCCTACCCGCTGAAGCCGTAAATGCCAAATTCCAGCTAAAAAATATCATTAAGACAATTGGCGGGCCCTTTAACAAGCCGGCGGCTTTTTGTCCTTCGAGGACACTAGATAGTTAGTGGCCCTTGGGTAAATTCAGTAAATATATACAATAATTGTCAGCGCATCTTCCGAGCAACAAGGACAGCTACACAGCATCTCTTAGAATTACGTAGGTAAACAACAAATGTAACATATTTGTTTACTACAATGTCGGTGCTGACTGTAGAAGTTGAAAAAACATTGTTTTACTTCGAAATATACTAATTTTATAAGAAAATTCGACGTAAATAGGAGGCAGTAGAGCTCCGATAAACCAGCGCTAAATCTTCAATATGAAGAATGTTGCTGCTCTCTGATTGGCCAAACGAAACACAGTAGTGACCTCTATCGGCACGCAGGTGGACCAACAAATTTCTTCCTAAGTGGACCTTATTGAATCGCACCTAAGCATCTTCTTAGGGCACACTTAGGAACCTTCGTAGCAAACCCACTTACGAAGAAATACACAGAGCTTCCTGAATCTAGGTCCAGGTTCGATCCTCGGCGATAGCTAAAGCCAATAGGCTGTTTCTTTCACCATGGAGCTTCTGTTCACCTAGCAGTAACTAGGTACCTGGGAGTTAGACAGTTGCTACAGGAGGCTTCTTGTGTGTGTGTGTGTGTGTGTGTGTGTGTGTGTGTGTGTGTGTGTGTGTGTGTGTGTGTGTGTGTGTGTGTGTGTGTGTGTGTGTGCGTGTGTGTGTGTGTAAGTGTGTGTGTGTGTGTGTGCGTGTGTGTGTGTGTAAGTGTGTGTGTGTGTGTGTGTATGTGTGTGTGTGTGTGTGTGTGTGTGTGTCTGTGTGTGTGTGTGTGTGTGTGTGTGTGTGTGTGTGTGTGTGTGTGTGTGTGTGTGTGTGTGTGTGTGTACTCACCTAATTGTACTCACCTAATTGTGCTTGCGGGCGTTGAGCTCTGGCTCTTTGGTCCCGCCTCTCAACCGTCAATCAACTGGTGTACAGATTCCTGAGCCTACTGGGCTCTATCATATCTACATTTGAAACTGTGTATGGAGTCAGCCTCCACCACATCACTTCCTAGTACATTCCATTTATTAACTACTCTGACACTGAAAAAGTTCTTTCTAACGTCTCTGTGGCTCATTTGGGTACTCAGCTTCCACCTGTGTCCCCTTGTTCGCGTCCCACCAGTGTTGAATAGTTCATCCTTGTTTACCCGGTCGATTCCCCTGAGGATTTGTAGGTTGTGATCATGTCACCCCTTACTCTTCTGTCTTCCAGTGTCGTAAGGTGCATTTCCCGCAGCCTTTCCTCATAACTCATGCCTCTTAGTTCTGGGACTAGTCTAGTAGCATACCTTTGGACTTTTTCCAGCTTCGTCTTGTGCTTGACAAGGTACGGGCTCCATGCTGGGGCCGCATACTCAAGGATTGGTCTTACATATGTGGTATACAAGATTCTGAATGATTCCTTACACAGGTTCCTGAACGCCGTTCTGATGTTAGCCAGCCTCGCATATGCCGCAGACATTATTCTCTTTATGTGGGCTCAGGAGACAGGTTTGATGTGATGTCAACTCCTAGATCTTTCTCTCTGTCTGTTTCATTAAGTACTTCATATCCTATTCTGTATCCTGTGTCTGGCCTCCTGTTTCCACTGCCTAGTTTCATTACTTTGCATTTACTCGGGTTGAACTTCAACAGCCATTTGTTGGACCATTTACTCAGTCTATCCAGGTCATCTTGTAGCCTATTACTATCCTGTGTGTGTGTGTGTGTGTGTGTGTGTGTGTGTGTGTGTGTGTGTGTGTGTGTGTGTGTGTGTGTGTGTGTGTGTGTGTATACTCACCTAGATGTACTCACTTAGTTTTGTTTCCGGTGGTTGAGCTCTGGCTCTTTGGTCCCGCCTCTCAACTGTCAATCAACTGGTGTACAGATTCCTGAGCCTATTGGGCTCTATCATATCTATATTTGAAACTGTGTATGGAGTCCGCCTCCACCACAACACTACTTAATGCATTCCATTTCTTAACTACCCTGACACTAAAAAAATTCTTTCTAACGTCTCTGTGGCTCATCTGGGTACTAAGTTTCCACCTGTGTCCCCTTGTTCATGTTCCACCCGCGCTAAAGAGTTTGTCTTTGTCTACCCTGTCAATTCCCCTGAGAATTTTGTAGGTGGCTATCATGTCTCCCCTTATTTGTCTGTTTTCCAGGGTTGTGAGGTTCAGCTCCCCTAGCCTTTCCTCGTAACTAATTCCTCTCAGTTCCGGGACCAGTCTATTGGCATACCTCTGAATCTTCTTTAACTTCGTCTTGTGTTTAACTTGGTATGGACTCTAGGCTGGAGCTGCATATTCCAGGATTGGTCTTACATAAGTAGTATACAGGGTCCTGAAAGATTCCTTACACAAGTTTCTAAAGGCAGTTCTTATATTGGCCAGTCTAGCATATGCCGCTGATGATATTCTTTTGATGTGGGCCTCTGGGGACAGATTCTGAATGATATCGACCCCCAGATCTTTCTCTCTATTTGACTCTTGCAAGATTTCACCTCCCGGATGGTACCTTGTGTTCAGCCTTCTGCTCCCTTCGCCTAATTTCATTACTTTACACTTTCCTGAGTTGAGCTTTAGTAGCCATTTTCTAGACCATTCCACCAGTTTCTCAAGGTCATCCTGTAGTCTCTGTCTATCTTCATCTGTTTTGATTCTTCTCATAATTTTTACATCATCAGCAAACATTGAGAGAAATGAGTCTATTCCCTTTGGGAGGTCGTTTACATATACTAGAAACAGGATAAGTCTGAGTACAGAGCCCTTTGGGACTCCGCTGGTGACATCTCGGCACTCTGATGCCTCCCCTCTTCACCGTTACTCGCTGTTTCTTATTGCTTAAATACTCCCTTATCCACTGGAGCACCTTACCTTTTACTCCTGCC